GGACCAAGCTGAACTTCTTGCCAGGGAACTTGGCCTCAGCCTTCTCCCGGGCAGCCTCCTCGGTGCGGCCAGTGACCCAGCGCTCGCCATCGCTGTCATCGTTCTCCTCACCCTCGATCTGAACGAAGTAGGCAGGAGCCTGATGACCCCACCACAGCTGACGGGAGAGACACCAATCGTTGATGTTGGTCATCCAGCGGTAGTAGCTCTTCTCAGCGGACTCAGGCTTGATGACGATCTCGCCCTTCTCAACGGCCTCGAGAGCGGGCTTGGCGAGGCTTTCCATCTTCATCCACCACTGGGGCTTGAGGATGGGTTCGATAACATCGTTGGACTTGGCGCAGCGGGGGATCTTCATGGGGTTGTTCTCCCACTTGACGTAGAGACCCTTCTCCTTCAGCATCTCGATGACCTTGTAACGGGCATCGAAGCGCTTCATGCCAGCGAAGGGACCACCCTTGCTGTTGAAGGTACCATCGTCGTTCAGCACAGAGATGAACTCGAGGTTGTGGGCCTTTCCACGGTTGAAATCGTTGAAATCGTGGGCGGGGGTGATCTTGACGGCACCAGTACCGAACTCGGGGTCGACATCCTTGTCGGCAACGATGGGCATCAAGCGGTCAACGAAGGGGTGGCGAGCGTTCTTGCCGACCAAGTGGGCGTAGCGCTTGTCGTCGGGGTGGACAGCAATACCACTGTCACCGATCATGGTCTCGGGACGAGTGGTGGCGATCTCGATGCGCTCGGTCTTGCCATCGACATCGACCTCGTAGCAGAAGTGGGTCAAGACACCGAACTCGATCTTCTTGTCGTAGCCCGGCACATCGAGAAGAGTACGACCCTCAACCTCCTTGTTCTCGACTTCAAGGTTGGACAGAGAGGTGTTCAGAGCCACACACCAGTTGACCAGGCGGTTGGCACGGTAGATGATGCCCTCCTCGTGGAGGCGAACGAAAGTCTCCGTGACGGCAGCGGACAGGTTGGGGTCCATGGTGAAGGCCTCGCGGGTCCAGTCGAAGGAACCACCGACTCTGCGAAGGGCGTTCTTGATGTTGGCATGGTATTCCTTCTTCCAGTCCCACACGCGCTCGAGGAAAGCCTCACGACCCAGGTCGTGACGGGTCTTCTTCTCCAACTTCCAGAGCATCTTCTCGACGACACTCTGGGTGGAGATACCGGCGTGGTCCATACCCGGCAGCCACAGGGTAGTCTTGCCCTTCATGCGCTGCCAGCGGATCATGGTGTCTTGGAGGGCGTTGGTAAGGGCGTGACCCATGTGCAGGGCACCGGTCACATTGGGAGGAGGGATAGGAATGACGAAGTAACCTTCAGGCTTGACCTTGTTGTCCGAGCCGAACTCGGGCTTGAACAGGCCGCGCTCCTCCCACCATTCGTAACGGCCAGCCTCGATAACCTTGGGGTCGTAGGCATCAGTGGTCTTCTCCTTCTCGACCTTGGGCTTCTTCTCGGCCTTGGGGGCGGCAGTCTTCGCAGCAGCGGCCTTGGCCTGCTTCTCGGCGAACTTCTTCGCCTTCTCGGCCTTGCGACGTTCACGCTCCACTATAGATATCCAGCGAGTTGTCAGAATGTTGTTGTATCAGGATGTCGGGTGGTGGCAGGACAGTATGGTCCTATGGTCCGGAGGATGGTTACATACGTTCCTTCTCGGTCTTCACCTTCTGGCCCTCGGCGGGCTGAGCGGCATCATTGGCATCCTGGTTCCGCAACTGGTCGTCGGCCTGGGGAGGAACGTCGACGGGAGCCTTGGGCTCACCAGCTAGAGGAAGCAACAGGGTGGTCAGTCAGTCAGTCATTCACATTGAGCCCCTGCGGGGTGGGATGGAACGATAAGAAGGGGGGAGGAGGAGGAGGAGTAGGAAGGCGACAAAGAACGTACTCGGGGTTTGGGGAGCAGAGGGCTGGGCCATTCTGGAAAATGGACGATATATAGGAAGGGGAGGAGGGAATCTCCAAGGCGCCGATCGCGCCACGAACCGACGGATAAGTATCTTGACCACCGGTGACTCAAACGGCGATAGAGAGAGCAAGAGGGGGAGGGGTTGGGTCGTTGTGCGAATGCGGGCAATTAAATTTCCTGGCGCAGAGCAAAAGATCGGAACGAATCAGAGCATCCGGGTGCGGGGCCTGAGGTCTCTTTCTCCCCCAAAACAGTGGAGAACGCAGTGTGCCTTAAAGTCCGAACTAAAGTAAACTGCTCGTCAGTCCCCTATGCACAGTGACAGATGTCAGAATTTGGACTGGAACTACCCTCGGTTTTTATGTTGGACAGCGATTGGGGATTCTCAATGTCGTCTTCTTCTTCTTGACTCATCTGCTAGTCACCTCCGCGGATGAAATCCTGCACGCCCTGCGCCGGTTTGAGTCAATGCTCGGGTCACGTGAGGGCACGGCCAGACCGTCGCTCTACTATTGATACTATAATACAACTATCTGACAAGATTACCCAAATGGTCTACGTCTTTCCTCCAGTCACATCATACAGTGCCTTTGGTAGAGCCTGTGCATACGTCATCTAGTCTGTCGAAAGGCATCTTTTGCTCTATGTAGCCTCCAGCACTCCTCGACCAGGCAGGCCTCCCAAAAGTGCCGGCCCTAGTCCATCACCACCCACCCATGGAAGAAATCGGAATCAAGATCAGATGAGCACCAAAGATAACTAGTCCTCACGCCGATGTCAATGACGTATCAAACTGGAATTTGGCATGCAGATTATGGGAGAAAACGCCAGTAAAATGGCAAACGCGATAGATTGAAATGCAACGCAGACACATGTAAAACGAGATCCCATCAACACCAGACCAACTAGTCACGCGGAAAAACGGGAACGAGAAAGGCGCAGAGTATGGGGAAAGGTTATATGGTTACGCAGGTTCAAACAGGGGAGCGAAAGTCCTTCCCACTCTAAACACCGTCTCATAGATTCCACTCACGGGGTATGCCAAGAGGATTGAGTCGAGATATATTAGGCGTATGTCATCTGTCATCATCGTCGTCTCCGTATGCCATAACTCATCGCACCCGTGGCGCTTTCATTCATGCCACGACAAACTTCCCCCCGGCCCTTGCGGCACAATGTTTTGTGATGTTTTTATAGTATTAGATCCAGCATCCCATTCCAGACACAGACTAACTCAACATCCGAATCAAATCTCGTTATCACATCGGAGAACGACACTGGAAAAAGTAGCTCGCTGCAGCGAGGATCCCGATGCAGGGGTATGAAAATAGTCCTATCAGCACACCGTTCAACTCTTAGGCAGTCGTGGTGTTGTTCCGGGCAGCCTGGGCCTCGGCCGCCCGCACGGGGGCGAAGTATGGATGAGCCATGGCCTCCTGAGCAGTAAGGCGTTCCTGGGAAATCGTCAGCAGGGGGATCCTCCTCAAACAGGGGGATAATTCATACGGCATGGTCATAACGGAGTAGTTTGTCCAAAAAGTCAATGGCTTCATCGCTGACGAAGCGCTGGTTCTCAGCATTTACAAACGAGAGCCAAGGCTTCCGGGGAAAGCGAGAAAGGATCTCATCATATTGAGGGTCCAGCTCAATCTCATATTTGTCCAGGTACTCGAACAGCTCCTCGGTACCAAGCACCTTGGCGATCTTCACCAACTGGTCGGAGTTGCTGTTACCGTGGAAGAAGGGCTCCTTGCGGAAGATCATGGAAGCAAACATAGCTCCCAGGGACCACATGTCCAGAGAGTAGTCGTATTCTTGGAAATCAACAAGAAGCTCGGGACCCTTGAAGTAACGGGAAGCGACGCGGACGTTGTATTCCGTGCCCTTGTGGTAGAATTCGGCAAGACCCCAGTCGATAAGGCGGAGCTATCCATATCAGCACAATGCCGGCGGAGATTTGAGCGGAGACCTACCTTGCGCTTCTCATGATCAATCATGACATTGTGAGGCTTCACATCCCGGTGCATAATACCCTTGCTGTGGCAGAAATCCAGGGCCTTCAGAAGCTCGAAAACATAGAAACGGACATCATAGTCAGAGAACCGCGGGTAGAGAGTCCGGAAATCCGTGTTGTTGACATATTCGAACACCAAGCTTGGCGTCTTGCTCTGACTGTCGCGAACCACGTCCAACAAGGCGACCACATTGGGGCCACCCGCCAGGTTCTGAAGGATCTTGATTTCACGCTTAATCTTCTTCTTCTTGACCGGCTTGAGTACCTTGATGACGCATTTCTGGTAGTTGACAACGTTGATGCCCTCGAACACTTCGGAGTACTTTCCGCGGCCTGTTCCAAATGGTGGTTAGCACAAAACGTACACAATTCATTCGCCGTGCGGCCGGACGACGTTTTTGGTGTATTTGCGGGTAGATGACGGCCGGTCGTATTGGCCTTACCGATCTTGCGGACCACCTCGTAATTCTCCAAAACACCCCAGGAGATGTTCACACTGTCATAGTCCCAGTAGGACCGGGGCATATGTTCGTTAACATCGGCATAGACGCGCGCCATGTTGATGGCGGCTGGCAGGCAGATCCGGAGTCAGCCCACAATGAAACGTATATCGATGATAAAAAGCGGCGGGGTAGGAAGGGCGGCGAGCGAAGAGGCGTCGTCGCGAGGGGAGAATTGCGATGGAGGGGACAGACAACAGCAGCTGCGAGGCCAGGTATGGTGGGGGCCTATGTCAAGAAGGCAGCCGTGCTATCGTCCGAAGCCAGCGATTAAGGGGAGGGGGAAGGGAAGAGGTGAGGGTCGAGTATAGACTGTCTGTCTTTGGGGATTGAGATCAGAATGGGCTTAGGCTAGTAAGAGCGTTTCGCTCCGCCTTTGCAGTCACGGGACTCCCGTTCGTTGGAGGCTAGATCACCTGCCGGCCCGGAATAACCTGCATTCCCGGCCGATTCTCGATTGCCGTTCTCGGACAGTTCTTTTGCACGCGGTCGCTATCCTTTTGCTTCTGCTGCCCGTCTCCAACGTACACTCGGGCGCATTCGAGCTTTTTAAGCTCGTCGCAAACTGCCAGCATCATGTTCTATGATCTCAATCTGCCCTATGCCTCGGATGATCCCGAGATCTCCAATACCTTAAGTTTTCTTGCAGAACGTGCGTCATGTTTCTCCCCTCGGCACAAGACCCGATCATCGAGCAGTCCCTCCCCCTCCACGGCCACATGAAGCGCTGACCTGACGACCAGTTGGTTACACCACCGTTGCCCTATCCCAATCTATTACTGGAAAACTCCCCTCAAACCCTACTCCCCCACCAGCGCCAAAGAATGTTCCCAAGGGCCTGACGCTCCTCACTCGCCTGAACCTGACCCTCTCCGACCCTGCGCAGAACCAGCGACTTGCCAGCCTGACTCAGGTTTATGATCTCGTCGCAATGAGGCCCACCAATGAAAAGGCGCTCCTAAATGCATGCACCAACCTCGAGTGTGATATCATCTCGCTGGATTTCTCCATACGACTACCCTTCCACTTCAAGTTCAAGATGGTTTCCGCTGCTATATCACGTGGGGTTCGATTTGAGATCTGCTATGGACCAGGAATCACCGGGAGCGGACTTGACGCTCGCCGCAACCTAATCGGGAATGCGATGTCGTTGATACGAGCCACGCGCGGCCGGGGAATCATCATTTCGAGTGAGGCGCAGCGAGCTCTGGCTGTTCGGGCACCATGGGATGTGATCAACCTGGCATGCGTTTGGGGTCTTTCGCAGGAGCGTGGCAAAGAGGCGATCTGCGAGGAGGCCCGGAAAGTGACCGCCTTGGCCAAGCTGAAGCGGACCAGTTGGCGAGGGATCATTGATATCGTGGCAGGGGGAGTGACTAAGACGAAAGCGAACGTACCGTTTCAGAAGAAGACCCAGGAGGCCACGGGCGATAACTTGAAGAGAAAAGCATCGGTGGGGTCAGAGCCAACGGGCGAAGAGGCGGAGAAACCGCTGTCCAAGCGCGAAATGAAGCGCCGGGCCAAGAAGGCTCGGTTGGAGTCTGCCGGAGCTTGAGCGAGTTCAGCTGAGGGAACCTTATGTGCTACAGCGGAGCAAGGGCGCGCTTGTCGATTGCCCAGGTTGCTCGCGGATCCACATTCCTCGCCTATCGTCTGCAGGCTGACTCTAGGGGCCTTGTGCCGGTCAGGCCGTCAGCTTGCTGGTGCGACTGACAGTATACTTATGACGAAATGAACAAACCCAAGGGAGCTGCAAGAGCCCAGGACCTCTATATCACCGAAGTTACTTGGGTTTCTGTCAGGAACAGACTCCTGACATCTGGCATCACCACTGCGCATGAATCACCAGAGTGCAGTTATATGCTCGATGATTCAATACCGGTGTGATTAGCCGCAGCTAGCCTTACCATTAGACTTTAGGCATATTAAAGTCACCCATGTAACGAATCAACGCTAATCAATGACAAATTACCGCATCCGTGAATATACCTAGCTTTTGGACTGGTAGTTAGGGAGTCGCCAGACATTCATGCACTTTTATACCAGTACAATTAATTCGAGCATCTGTAGCCATATACCAGTAATAATATACATCTTCACCCTGATATCAGATAATAATTCATAGTGAAAATTGAATATACTAACTATCAACCGAACCAGGCTTCTTTTCGCTGCTTCAGCCTATCAAACTAGTACTACTTACTCCTGTGACTACTAACTGATACTGCATGCCAATGACTACTAGTAACTACCTCTAAGTAGTAAATACCACCACTGCTACTCACTATACTACTAGGATATAGCACAGATAGAGTAGCTACTACTGCTAGTCACCACCATAAGACTATCTGTTCTACACTCGAAAAATAAAGGGATGTCCAGGAAAAGGAAAGGTATTCCTTCCACTACGCAATTACTATACACTTCTTGAGCAGCAACTAACAAGCACTTAGTAACTATTGAGCTTTCTTCTAGGCAATACATTATGAACGAACAGGTCCCGTAAGTGTTTAGCACATAATAATTATTTTAGGATACTATTAAAGTTCAGTTGATTGTGACTACACTGATTCAGGGAAGGCAATATATACTTGCCAGTAAGTTACCACCACTTGCTACACAGGTATCAACTACTTGAACTAACTAAGAAGCCGGTAAAAGACGATAATAAATGAAATATCTTACACATTCATATTTTCATTAATTACCTTTCAATAAACTCATCCACCATCCCCGTAACATCCAGTCCAGCTCAGTACCTGACCTAACCCAACATAAGAAATCATATACACAAACAAGCATCCATCCATCCAACCGTCCCCGTCCCCAACCAACCAATTCTCAACAGGATCAGAACTGAAAAGTATCATATCTCATCATCACATGCAATGCATATCATCAATGCAAGAACCACCAGCACCAGGGTATGATAACGAACTCAAAAGCAAGAAGGACAAGAGCCTTTGTCTCCGAAAAACTCCACGCAATCCCAACTCAACCAAAGCAGATCAAAGCAACCTAGAATCGACAACCATGACACACAAGTTATATCGCAGAAAATGATTCAATGAGCGCCAATTCGATCAAGAAGAAGCCGACGCCATCCCGTCTAATTCAACCAGAACTCGTAGGTCGCCATCCATCCAGTCGACATTGCTAGCTGAGACGAGGGCCATTGCCCATTCGTTGTCGTTTTGCACCGGGGCCAGTCCATCTGGGAGCCAGACCTTGAATTTCCAGTTGAGTTGAGAGACCCAGTCCATGTTGGTCTCGGAAGAGAGGCCTGGCAGTTGGCCGGCGAATTTGCGGGAGATGAGCTGCTTGAGGGTTTCAAGATCGGTACATTGGCTTCCGGGGATGTCGAAGCGGGGATGCGCGCGTTTTCCGTCTTGGAGGATGTTGATTCGGAGTGAGACGTTGGTTGGAGGAGACGGAGAAGAGCCGACATTTCCAGAGACAGCGCTGGGGAGAGGTGGGAAATTCGGAGGAGGGAATGGCTGGGGCTGGGGCACGGGTGCCTGGCTGTGGGGTGATTGATGGACATTGTGCTGGGTCGCTAGGCTGTCTCGGATGATCCGCGAGATATCACGGGTGATGCTGCTGGCACTATGGGGTTGTTAGTAATGTACACAATTTGCTAACTGTTATATTGGGGACGTACAATTCATTTCTGGCAGGCCGTTCTGAGTTCCCGCCAACACGCCAACGCAGGTCCGAGGTGACATCTGCATTCAAGATGCGATGGAGGTTCTCATCCTCACATGGAGACGGACAGTCATAACCGCCGTTGTGAATGACCTGGAAGTGGCTGTCAATCGCAGCGACCAGTCCACGCCAATCCGGTTGCTGGAGACCCGAAATGTACCACAGGTTGTCAAGCTCATAATTATGATTGTACATGTCATATGACTTTGAGAATGAGTCCCAGTCAGTCGAGTACCCATCCAGCAAGAGATCCGTGAGACCCAGATCCACCTGAGACCCGGTCCCGAGCTGCGGTTGTGGTGCCGACAACCCGGTCTGTGCAGAAGCATAATCGTCCGGAATATGGTGGTGTGAATGCATGTGGAGTTGATCATCTGTCGGTGTGGTCGCGTTCAGATTCTGCAGACTGTCCTCTGTCTTGCGTCTCCGTCGCTCTTCGGTGCCACCTCCTTTTCTAGTCTCCACTGCGTACTGCCGCTGTCGCTCATTGGTGACCATTCGGCGCAGCAAAGGAATAACCAAGGAGATGATCTTTTGCTGGTCTCGGGGCCAGATGTATGTCCTGGGCCCCATGCCCTCATTGACCACGTTTTCCCCGAAGAAGCGCTCACCGTGGCCTTCGACCTCAAGAAAGTGGCGCACGCAGTTCCACAACCGCAACTTAACCATCTCGGTGTCTCCCTTTCCACGCTGGCCAACACAGTCGCGCCGCTCCGGGTGGCGATCATCCAGCATATATGCTTTAGCCGCCGCCTGCAGATGCAAGAAATTCTCTGGGGAGAGCTCCAGCGACGCAAACAACTTCGACATCGGCGGACGAGTGTACTTCTTGTTACTCGACGGTTGACGGAACAAGGCAGCGGCGGAATGCAAACCTACAGCACGAGCTTCGGACAGAGACTGCGACGGCGCGACACCCAGACCCTCCCCACCATAGTGATGTGCATGCTGGTGATGCTGCTGCTGCTGTTGGTGGTGAGGGTGGTGAGTGCCTGCAAGGCCGACAGCAGCTCCCGCAGTCAACGCCGGATCCAGCGCATCCTCATTTCTCTTCCGTTTCTTCGTTGGCACCCTGGTCAGTCCACCGGAAGGCTGGCCATGTTCACTCATAGAGGTAGACCCCGGTCCGCGCATGTGCCGCTGCGGTCCCATTCCAGCACCGAAACTTGCATCTGCAAAGCTATCCTCATCGATGTGGGTATCCGGACCATATTCGAGGTGATGCTGGAGTCCCGCAGCCCCCGCCGCAGCAGCGACAGCGGCAGCAGCAGCCCAGTCGGAGACTTCCTGGCCGGCAGCAGCTGTAGCAGCCTCCACCAATCCAGCTAGTTGATTCTCACTGGGCGCATATCCGCTATTTGCGAGGTGATTATTAGGGTCGACATTAGCGGAGGTGGTCGGGTTGGTCGAGAACTCGGCAGCCGAAGTCGACGGAGGATGTTGATGGTTTGAGTTGGAGGTCGATGCCATTTCAGTTCGGGCCGCGTGAACGCGTGAAACGAACAGCCACTCAAAGGTACGTAGGCAGAGTGATATTAGGGGAGTCACGCAGATAATAGAGTTATAACACAGAAGTGCGGCGCGGCGAAGCCGTCACAACTCCAGACAGTTACAAGCTCGATTGGTTGATCCTATGTGGCAAACAAGCTTCAAATCCCGATTAACAGGACCTGAACGTAAGGTAAACACTCCGAAACAGCGAATCGTCAGCTCGTAGTTCGGGAACCGTGATTTGGAGCGTCCGTCGCGTGCGGGTGAGCGTCGACGGTGCTTGTTGACAGAGCGCCAAACAACGCAGCTTCTAGAAAAGACACCCGGTGCTCCCGGGCAGGGAGGAAAACACGGTCGCCTACGGCGAGCGGGCGCGTGAGTGAATAGCAGATCAGGAGCTGTCAACAAGAGACAATAAGGTCTCGCGCAAACAGGCGAGGACGGCGATATAGTTTGTATAGATGGAGCTGTTTAACCCGATGACGCTGTTTGGCTGGTTTGAAGGAGGAGCAGACAGTGCAAACTCTGCAGGGAAGACGCCGTTGCACATTGCCCAACCCAGTTAGCCGCGGTGGATCTGGGTCACGTGATATATACCAGAGTATCATCAGGCATTCACTATCCTGTCAGTAAAGGCAGTTAATCAACATATAGCATGATTACTACACAACATGTGCTGTATATGACAGTTATATAAATGCTTTTCATTATTCAATTTGGAGCCTGCCAAACTGGTCCTAGCTGCAAAGGATATCACAAGATCTGGCACAAACCCCAGCACATCATCCAAGTATCGCAGGCCAAGAAAACATATCAAACACAATGGAATCAAAAATCGTATCTATACCAGGCATCGCAGCAAGCCACCTGAACCCCAGACAAGTCAAATATGAACACAAGAAGATGAAGATGATGATATATAGTCCCTCGCGGCCAGGAACCGAGAGGGTTATGAGCTGTCGGGGTTTGAACAAAGAAAGTCAAAAAGACAATGATCGTCAATAAATCCTAGGCACTCTCAATGGAGAATACTTAGAATCCATCGCCCTCCTTCCAGGGTCTCCCGACTTCGCGGGCGCGTGCTTCGGGGTCCTTGCCACGTTCCGTAGCATTTACCACCAATTCATTGATGAGCAGCTCCTCCATGTCGATCAGATCTGCGAGCGTCAAATCCTCGCCTGGCTGCGGGAAACTCAGGTGGCTTTCCTCGCCCAGCGTCCCGCTCATGCGCGTCAGCTCGATCATGTCGGCCCGAACGTTCCATCCTTTGAATTGCTCCTCGAGCTCAGACTTCTTCGCATGGTGGCCTCGGAATGCATCGTACTCATCCTCGCCGCCAAAGCAGATGCCAAATCCATC